AGAAAACCGTCTTTTTTTGGAGAATCGACGTCAATTTTGCGACCAAAGAGGAATCTTGAGAAATTTTTGGCGGGGGCGAAGCCTCCATCCCCAGGGGGTTACTTTCTGCCGTTTAGGGGGTCTATTAGAACTCTTAGGAGTCACTTAAGATGTAAATGTATTCTGCTCCTCAATTTGGATGCAATCAATTTGCGATTCGGAAAGGAGCCCCGATTTTCAAAATTCGGCCCCCCCGTTTACCCCCCAAGGGGAGCTAGAGGAGCTTCGGGACCATGAAATTTTGATTTCTCGAGGTCGATTACAAGGGAAACCGTCTTTTTCTGGCGAATTCACGTCAATTTAGAGACCAAAGAGAAATTATGGAGGGAGGTACTGGCCTCCTCCTTAGGGGGTCATTTTTGGGCCTTGGATGGTCCGATTTTGGATTTTTAGGGGTCAATTCCACGTGAAATTTTCCGTGCTTTTCAATTCTGATGCGATCTATCCGTCATTCGGTCGGGAACCGTGACTTTTAGCATCGTGACCCCCCCCCTTTACCCCCCTAGGGGAGTGGGGGGGTTTTGGGACCACGAAATTCGGATTCCTTGGGGTCAATTCCCTATTCATCTCCGCGGTCACCGACTTCGTACGACCAATACCAACCGAGAAAAAGGCCTGGTACGGGTGGTCTGAAACACCCTGTATGCACTGGTCTTGAATTACGGTACACTGGCGTGGCGTGCTTTGCGATACATCGATTGATTTGCCATTTAAACCTATGGAAGAGGATCGATAAACAGGGTATTCGCAACGAACACCTATATAATCGATTCTTCACCATAGCTTCAAATGGTAAAGAATCGATACTCACTCATTCACGCTTCGCCACCGCATGACGTTCAGAAGCTCACAAGTGGCGACAATGACACTTGCACCGGTCGTCTAGCCGTCTGGCTGTGAGAAGCTGCAGGTCTGGACGTCAACTCGGAGACGTGCACTGCCCACCATGCCGCAATATCGTCGTCCCTCGAACGTAAGATCCTAAGTCAACTTCCACATGAGCTCCGGAAAACACAAAGCTATACGGGAAGCAGGGCTCACGTGGTGATCGAGGTGCACCCTTACGTCAGAGGATCGACGACATGATCGTTCTTGTGAATCATAATTACGCAAATGATGCGATGCGTTCGAGACTGATCTGGAGCCACGCTCTCATCTCGATACTGCCGTGCTGAGGAAAAACGCCGTATGAACATCCGACAGTTGCCAAATTTCCCTCGATAAAATGTTTATTTCTGCGGAAAGTTTTGCATATTTTTCCTCGAAATTTTCAGGAAATTTAGGTGAAATTGAGAACAAAATTATCTGAAAAAAAAATGGAAGGAAAATATTCATATGTTTACCAGGAAATTCATGTTTGATCAAATTAAATTTGGCAACGCTTGAAGGTTCATACGGCGTTTTTCCTTAGCACGACAGGATACGTCTTCACGTTTCGTCAAACTGTGCTCCCGTCGCACAGTGGATGGAGTCAATCAGGGAGGTCGGACGCGTAAAATTTTTGACTGAAACTGCAAATTTTGATATTAATGTCGTCACTTTTTAGAGATTATGGGCGGTTCTAGCAGAACATTTGACGAGGAAACCAGTGAAACCATTTTTAGAACCTCAAAGTTCGTATAAACGGAGTTATAAGGGTTTAAAGTTTCCAAATTCTGTCCGAACTCTCTTGTTGGCGCGATCCACTGTGCGTTGATCTTCGATACTCGTGCTTAATCGCACGTAAAAAACGTTACATTTCTCTCGATGATGAGACAGATTCCGGGATATCGTGCTGTAATTATTTTTGCGCATCATAAGGTCGGATTTGGGATTTTTGCGCCCATAAAGCCCAATTATTCACGTGATTCATCTTTTATTTGACAGCCTTTGACACAAACTTCGTTTAAACAATTAATAACATCGCGGTCTTCCAATCAGGATGAATAGTGTCTATTTTTCAAAGCTTATTCCAGTGCTCATTCCTCCTAATTTTCTAATAGATGAGGTAATCTATTTCATGAACTAGGTTGTAAGTTGTCCTTTATTTAGATATAAGTAACATTGAATTTTCGTACATATTTTCATCATATTAATCTGAGGGGCTTGGAGGACAAGTCGCATAAGTTCAGTTTTTGCGCATTCGAGAAAAACGTGTTTGAAGTTTTGAAAATACATGAATCCTCATGGCGGAAAGAAATTTCAAACTGACTTGATGATGCGAAAAAATTGGAATTTTGGAGCGAATTTTTCACAGAATATGCATTTCACTGGAAAATTAATACCTCAATTTTGCAAGTATATGCACCGTGTCTTCTAAGCCCCTCAAATAATATCGATACATCGTCATCTTCCGGCCAAAATTTCACAAGCACCATGCGACGTTTAAAACTTTCCACCGCCATTTTTATTTTTTTTATAGGGAAATCGTTCGATTAAGCTGTCCAAAAATTTCACTGAATTTTCTTTGCGGTGTCATCAATTCAGGGAAATTTTCAAACAGATTTGACCAGCAAGTTCTCTTTAAAAAAATAAAATGTACGCGGAAATTTTGAAACGTCGCAAGGCGCTTGTGATACATTTGCGGGAAGGTGGCGAAATATCATGATTTTCGTCAATCAGTATTGTGTTTTAGAATTCCTGTAATTCAGAATTTCCGTGTTTTATTTTAGAACGCCAGCCAAAGGCACCTAAGGCTGGATGATGGGGAGGGGACAGGTTTTCTATCAGAGAAATGTTGTTAGGGAATACTATGCGAAAAAATTGGCAGCATTACAGATGACATGAACTTTTACTCTTTCAACGAGTTATTTTATTTAGACGGCTTGGATTTTTCCCCGGAAAGACGGGCAGAACGCAACTATTTCGGGACTGAACTGCGGCTGCCTAGGGACGGGTGCCAAAAAATGAGGCATCCTCGAAAAGTATGAAACAGACTGTATAAAAATGAGCTCGCTTGATTCATTTGTTGATACATTTTTAGTCTTAGATTTTCAATTTAACCTGAATGATTGTACTTCGTCATTCTAAAAATGCAACTTTTTACTGTACCCGATTTAGTTTGCCACTATGTTTTGGTGGCACCGGCAAATATTTATAAATTATCCCGTCTGTGGTTCAGTTCAACATTATTTAGTCAGAACTGTACTAAAATATGTCCGTCTAACATTAGAACAATTTAATTTCCTGCAAGAAAACGACCGTGTTATTTCTGTCGAAGCCTTTGCTGCGGGCTGCTTTTGAGATAGATGGACAAAACAATCGACAAAGAAGACAGAGGTAAAACGAACCGATCCTATTGATTAAAACGGGAGGTAATTATACCACGGATTGACTTCAAAGTATTTCGTGGGTTGCGTTAGTTAATTTACTACTTGCCTCCTTTGCCCATTGTAATTAACCACTCGCACTTCCACCAACCGGATCGCTTCATTTTCCCTTTGTCTTTTATGTCTATTGTTTTTTCTATCGATTTCAATAATCAGCTGGCTTATTTTAACGTGTAATCCTATGGCATTTCGGTGACATTTTCAGTTGGAAGTTTTAAACAAAGTCTTAGTAAAAATCCAAGTCACGGTTAGAGTTTTTGCCTTGTTGATATGAACCTAATTACGTGCTTTCGTCTAGGGGCATGAGCGGAACTAGTATATGAGGCTGAGGGGGCTGGACCCTCAGATGTCTGATTGGCCCCTCCTCGGAAGTATACAATATTTTGCTAAATAAGCGTATGCTATGTTGTTCATCCTTGAATTTTCAATTCGATCAATTCTTCAGTGAGACCAGCCAAAAAATGCTCCTAAGACCATTCAATTTCACATAATCCCCCGACCCCTTCCGAGGCTAGGGAAAACCTACGAATCCCCCATGACGAGGTGTATTATAGTGTTCCCTATAGACTGATTCTTGAAATTTATAGACAAAGCGATAGACAAAGAAGACAAAAGGGAAATAAAACGATCCTTTGGTGGGAGTGAGTGGATACAGTACACAAAGGAGATAAGTGATAAGCATAGACAACTAACGGCAACCCACGAGAGATACCATAGTTATATAGTCCATCATTTTCTCCCTTTGTCTATGTTAACCGCATGTTTCAACCAATAAGATCGCTCCATACTCCCTGTGTCTTCTTTGTCTATCGCTTTGTCTATCAATTTCAACAACCAGCCCGCCGGGCATCTCTTGACTATGGGTGTCTTCTTGCCACCTTCCAAAAAAGGTTCCATGTTCCACCCATGTCGTCGTTTCCCATACGAAGGAACGCAACTCCATTCTAAGGTTGCAAAATTGTCTCACAAAACCCAATTTTTTACAAAAATGTACCGGGGCAATTTTTATTCAAAACTGCTCTGATTTTTACATGAGATCAGAAGCAAAATCAGTGAAACTTTCACACAAAATAAATGAAGTTGCTAATTTAACAATTTTGTGGTTAAAAAGAGCGTCCGACATGTCTCAATGTGCATATTGCAGTAAAAAAATTCTAATATAACCACCCCCGCCTTTCACTTTTGTGAAATGTACATTTGAAACATGTTGGACATATTTTTTTGACAATTTAATCGTTAAATCAGCAATCTTATAATCAGTCATTCATTTTTTTTCGTGCAGTTATATAGGCATCCCCAAAATTTTCCTGCTGGAAACGCAATTTGCGAAGGGACATTCGGCAACATTGAAATCTAGTTACGTTCTTTCGTGAGGGGGACGAAGATGTCTGAGTTACGGGATTAGATACCCTTTTTTTTCCCTGCTGGTTTTATGGCTTGCGTGTCTAGTACCTTCAGCCAACTTTAAACTACGTTTCTTGTCCGTAAGCATCGATGGATTAAGGTACATCCATACTCCAGGTTTTCCAAATTTTCAGGGGTTAAGGCCGAGTAGAATCTTTTTTAGCAGATCTGCTCGTCAGTTCCGTGAAAATTTGAAGCCACTACCGGGATTCGAACCCGGGACCTATTTGATTAGATAAGTCGGCTCACCTAAGTTATTGTTCTCTTGGGCATCGTTGCATCGGGTGACAACCCTAATGATCGCTCTGCCGGCAAGCTGAGTGCACATCATCATGGCCGGCATGTTGGGCTCGGTGTTCTCCTGGTTGGCGATGTCGGCGTTGAATCGGGGTGGGCTTGGCGGGCGCATCTTCTCGCTTGGCAACTCCCTACACTCGCAGAACAAACACCGCGCACTGATCACAGCACGAGCACTCAAGAGCGGGAAAACTCGGGGAACTTCCGGGAAAACTCGGGGAAATTAGGGAAAAGAGTGGGAAAATCACTAGGTTCGGCTTCGCGGGCAAACTCCGAAACGCGTGTCTTTCCTGGTTTCCGGATCCGGTCACGGACGGATCGCGCGGACTGAGAGCGATTGAGCGCGAGGCGCCGGCTTCGCGCGCTTTTATACCAACAGCTGATTCCGTCGCGACCAAAACATTGGCGCCGCACAGTGGATCGAGTCAATAGGAAAGGTCGGACAAAATTTGGAAACGTTAAACGCTTAACTCCGTTTATACACATTTCTGCCGTGATAGTGAAGAGAGCCGTAAGTGCAAAATTTCCGAAATCGAGTTTTCTTCAAAATTCGCCTTAACTCTTTTAGATGAAATTACTGAGACAGCTAAAACAGCAAAATTCATCCTAATTTGATGAAAACGAGACGTATGAGAAAGCCGTAAGTGCACAAAAAATGACTTAGTTTTTTTTCAAGACAGCCGCAGGTGCATGAGAGCCAATGAAAACAGTGCTTTCCAGTAAAGTGCCGTCCTCTTCTCCCAATTTCTAACCTGAAAATGTGTTTGTTGTGCGTCCAAAACGCAACCACGAAAGCATGTAGAAGATAGCACTTACGGCTGTCTTGCCTAACAATAACCTAGCACGAAACTGAATTTTACCTTTTTCATGTACTTCAAAATAAAATCGGTCGAGTTTTAATCCCCCAAATGATTTCTAGGAGTCGACGAATAGTGGCAATTATACAAAGAACGGAGGCTTCTTTCAATAAAATGTTCCACTCAGAAGCTCCTGAGCCCGTTTTCTCAGAGCTTCAATTTTGCACTTACGGCTCTCCTCGCTATCACGGCAGATTTTTGAAGTTCTGAAAGCGGTTCCATCGGTTTCCTCGTCAAATTTCCTTCAAGAAGCACCCCTTTAAATTTATAATGTGACGAAATAAACACCAAAATTTGCAGTTTTAGTCACAAATTTAATGTCCGACCTCTCTAATTGACTCGATCCACTGTGCGCCGCCGCGCAACCTAACCTGCGCAGCCTCCTCCGCGACGCCGCCGCTGTGAGAACGAAACTTTTGTTTCTTTGTTTTTTTCTGCACTGACAAAAAAAAGTTCGGTTGTATGAACTGAACGTTCGGTGTTCCATATCATCCCGACTATTCCGTTTGTCAAACTGGAATTTCGGCTCGTGTAACCGAACATTCGGTTTGTACGACGCCTTTGTTCGTGAGTTTACTTAACCGTTGAAGTTCGGTCACGCTAACCGGAATTTCGGTTTGACAAATCGAATAGGTTGGGATGATGTGGAACACCGAACTTTGGTTCATACGATCGACATTTTTTTTTCAGTCATGCAGTGATGGCGACCTTTTGCAAAAAATCGATTTTAGCGTTTTAATTTCCGATTTTTCCGCAAAATTAGACTCTTGATCGATCTGGAAAAAACAGTTTTCTTAAACAACGATTTCTGGGATTGAAAGGATGAAAAATCTTCGGATCAAGGATCAATTAGTTCAAAGTTTGGACCATTATTTGACGAAAATATTTCGATTTTAATCGTGAAACGAGTTGAATCGTTTAGCGTGTCAAAATATCGATCCCGATTTTAAACGGATCCAAGAAAATCGATCAGTCTTTCCAATTTTTGGTGTCGAAAAATCTATCTTTAGAAAGATTGATTTTAAACCGTCACCAGACTCTGCCTCTCTCTCCCTCCGTATTATGTCCTTCTCCGTTTGTTTTTCCATTTTCAAATTTTCACAAAATGTCGACTTGATTGAGTATTGCTCTGTCAAACTTTCGTAAGCGCCTACTGATATGTTTTAAATATATTCCTCTCACAATCTCCAAAATTCCCCCATATTTTTAACTTTTTATCAGTCTTTCTTGTAAACACACATATATATATATATATATATATATATATATATATATTTTTTTTTTTTTTTTTTTTTACCGTAGGTGCGTCAATGACCAAAGTCGTCCGAGTACTGCTCTGAAATACGTGCATATACTTACATTTGACGTTTCATGGAAAAAGTAGGCGCCTCAGTCAAGTTATAAGATCAATTAGTGATTCTGATTTCAAAGCATACAGAGAAAAGCTCTGAAAATATTTTTGGACCCGAACAGAAAAGAGAATGAAATGCTAAATTGGTACACGGTCTTTATGTCCACTTTTTTTTACGTCCACAGACTTCTCGTCCACAATAATTACGTCCACAGTTCTGAAGTCCACACTATTGTTAAGTCCATTACTTAAACGTCCACTACGTTAAGTCCACAAATGTAAAGTCCACTAAAATCAAATTCAAGCGTCATCTTTTAGTCCGTGTGTAAAATTATATTGACAATATCGAAATGAGAAAATTAAGAGAGAATGAGGTGTTGTTATCGTAACTCATATTTTAAATGAAATGTTAATTTCTTCTTTTGATTCATCCTTTCAAATTGTCTTTGGTAAATACTTGGTTTCATTTCTATCCTTGAAATTTTCGTTATAAAATATGCCTTAAATGTACATTCTTTTTTTTAATGAAATTGATTACTTCATTTTAAAAACATTTACATTTTTGAAACGTGGTTAATATTTGTAAAACCTTTTCCAAGCAATGGCATCGATATGAATCTCAATGAGCCGTAGTTGTGATGAAAGAAACTATACGAAAATTAATAAAAGAGGAGAAAAACTAAGAAGCACGCAATTTTTTGTTTTTAACTTATTTGTACATCGACCTCCTTGAGTCAAATACGTCCAATTTTGAGCGTTTAGTTGCGCTTACACCACGCTGCAGCACAGTAAAAGCCCAAAACATAAAAGAATAAATTTGAATGCTTTGGAAATCATTAAATTTGACACGGAACGACTATTACATTTACAAAAAACACATTATATTTTCCAGTAGTACATATTTCCTTTTCATCAGTTTACAAGGGAATAATCAATGCAGAGAGTGCGAAAATGTCAAAATCATGAGTTGAAAAACGCTGACTCTGCGAGTTTAAATATTAGAGCCTAACACAGAGCGGAGCGACGTGTTAGCAGCGCAGAACGCGCACTGGCGCCTACAAACCTAACGGGATACTTCACGCATTGCGCAACACGTGAAGTATCCTGTTAGGTTTGTAGGCGTCTATGCGCGTGTCACGCTGGTTGCCTGCCGCGCCGCAACGCTTTAAGGAACTATTTCGCGTCAGAGGCGTTGCACAATATCCTACAAGATTGAAGGCGCACGAAATAAATAGTGTTAAAGAGGACTTTTAATTTTGACTGTATCTGTTACTGAAAAATGTTTAATTTGGCATTGGAGCGTTTCCTAGGCTCCCGCTGTGATTTTCATCTAATCATATCCGTACTGTGTACACATGAACATATGTTTTTATCTGCTCTTAGAGTCTATTCAAACCCTCTTACATGCGATGAACCCAATATTACCACCAAAATTCTAAAACTCTTCACCTCTCTAAATTTAAAAATCTAAATTTTCGTTTATACTCCCATTTTCAAAATTATCATCTGTAAAGACGTTAAAAGCCTGAGACGCTGAATGTCTTAAAATATATATAACTAACTAACTCTTTCATGACTTGATTCATGAATGAAATGTTTTTAAGAATGAAGGTAGTAGTAGTATGCATTTATTTGTGAGGTGGCTCCTGTTATTTAAATGAGAAGAAAAAAAATGTGGACATAAAATGTCCACAATTTGGACACTTTTGGACATATTCATGGTTGGACATTAAATCATGTGGACTTAGTAAAGACTGCACTTAACGTTTAGTGGACATAAATAGCGGTGGACATTTATTTCACGGACGAAAGGTAGGTGGACATAAAGTCCTGGAAGCGCTAAATTAGACTAAATGCGATTTTCAGTTAATAAACTTGCACAACATATGACAATTCTGCTTCCCCTTTATTAATTGAATTAATGCTGTTATCCACAGAATGTTTGGTTACAGTAAACTTGAATTAGTGAAATTTTAAGTTTTCAGATCAAAGAAAGTAGCTTCGGGGGAAAGTTAGTTCCTAGAATTCTAATCCGCCTTGTTCAGGGCACACAATTCCTTGATTAGGTATAGGTATCTAATACCGTTTTATGCCATGGTGTTCGGTCTTGTTGTATAATCATGTTAAGAAACCCAAATAAAACTTTGATCAGCTTGAAACTTACAAAATATTAATTCACCATTTACAAAAAAAATTGTAGCCAAGCTAATCATTGTGTTAAATCCTGCAGATGATTCTCGACATGATTATGTTTAACTCTGATCCTTACTTTGCTGGTCAACTTTTTTTTTTTTTTGATTTGTCAAAAAGTGCATAACTGATTTTTGATGGATCTTAAGCGCTATTTCGGAAATTGTTCTCCATGTTCCTGGCTCTTTCCTGCGAAATTGTCCGCAACTTTCTTTATAAATTTCTGAATGATGGCGCTTACACAAATTTCAAACCCGTCGAAAGAGATATTCTAAATTTTTACGTGTGAATTCATGAGGTGGATTGATCATCTTGAGATCTGAGAAACTATTCCCCCTCCTCTGCTTGGTAGTAAAAACAGCAGTCTTGGTCATGTAGAGAAAATTTGAATTAAATTGTTTCGTACAAGAAGACACACACCCACAAAAAGAGGAAAAAAGTGCGCAAATACAGTGTCATCTTTCAAAAGCATTTCTGTGCTTTAAATGGGCTCGACCTTTTATCTTACCTATACATGAATGTATGTTTGATCAAGTAAAATGTGATAAACCATCATTATTTAAGTGTCCGTCGTAAAATTAAAAAATATCATAAAAAAAAACTCGACTGAATTGCGGGTGTGCGTCAAAGTGTAATTTCATCATCTTTAAACTCACTATGACATGAATTAATATTGGATCTCAGATTCTGGGGGACACTATTCTATTTTGTAGCCTCTATAAAAAAACATATGGTACCAACTTTCCTTCCTAAATTATAAATTTTGGGAGTCAGCTATTAGAAAAAAAAAAATAAGAAAAAATGAAAACTTGCAAAATCATTTCACACTAGAAAAGGTTCAATTTTTAAAAGCCGAAAAAACACGTTGTTACGAATTCATATCGCCATGCAATAGACGGCCTTAAAAGCATAGCCCTAATAGAAAATTAAGTCATCAATCATTATTTTG